ATATCTCACACATATCTTTATACATCTTTTCTTCTATGGTGCAGACATATATATTTATTTCTAATAGTAAGTTATTTCCAATATACAAAGTTTATATAATTCAACAAGAAAAAGGCAAACTAAGTATCAGAAAATAAAGAATGAGCAAATTATGGGAAAAGACAAATTATCAATGAATATATGAATAACTGCTCACCTTCACTAGTAATTAAGAAACTAGAAATTAAAACCAAAAAAATTACATTTAAAAATATATCAAATAGGCAAACATTGAAAATAAATTGCATTCAGTATTTATTGGATATTGGAAAAGGGCATTCTCAAGACTTTTTGGTAGGGAGGAATATAAATTAATACAGCCTTTTTCTGAAGACATGTGGGCAGTGTCTCTTGAAATTTAAAATGCACATACCCTTTTGGTACAGTGAGTCTACCTTTAGGAGTCTGCACCATGGAAAAATAGAGGTGTGCATACAGAGGTGGATATATGTGCTAGGATATTCGTTGTGACATTATTTGTAGTAGCAGAAAATTATAATGAACCTAAAATATCTGGCAATATGGAAATGTTAAAAAAAAAAAGCAGCTATGATGTAGTCATACAATGGAATATAGTGAAGGATTAAAAGATGCTAAATCTATAGCACTGACATGGCAGCATGTGGCAGGATGCCCAAGAGTAGAAATATCCACTCTGAGAGCATATGTATATATAGCAGGATTTAATCTGAGACGGGGAGGGGGGGTGGGGGGGTGGAGGAGGTGTGTATGTGTTTGTGTGCCAAAAAAACTTAAAAGTCTGGAAAAATGTACATTGGCTGGCTAAAAGTGGTTACAAATCTGAGGTATAGAAGTGCTGGGATTAGGGGAATTTCACTTTTTCTTTTTATGTACTTGTGCAGTATTTGTAATTCTACTTTATCACCAAGATATAGTTCCTTCATAATGTTAAGGAAGAAAAAAGATTATAAATGCCAAACAACTCAATCATTGACCAAAAAGAAGGAATGTGGTTAAAAGAATTGCTGTAAAAGAAGGGATAGATAATCTCTGCCTAATGAAAATTATAAACAAATAAGAAAAAAACCCCAGAAAAACCTGCCTCTTGCTACTGTTATTAATTTTCTCTATTTGGGATATTTATTTCAGTGATTTCATCCTGATTATTTTATTGTGTTTGATTGATAGTGTTTACTGGAGTTTAATGAAAAGTATTTTGTAAATATCTCTACTTGTGATTTATCCTTTGTGATGTCTTCCCAGTGAACTGACTGTGAGTGGAGAATTATAGAAATTAACTGGAAAGGAGATACAGATCTGGAAAGTAGACAGTGGCTTTGCTTATCCTCATGGGAAACCTTATTTCATATTTATAAAGTTTGAAAATTTTCCTATACTTCTTTCTGATTGTGCATTGTTGTTGTTACTGTTTTAATGAGAATTAGAACGAGCCAAACCAACCTGCTTCATTCCTGCTAGTACTAATTTAATTTCAAAGGAAATTGTTCAACCTTAGTAACTTAAGTGAATGTGGACAGAACCAGACTCTGACTCAATATGTCCAATTAATTGCTTTTAAACATTAAGATACATTCTTTAAAACACCCCACACATAACAAAAAAAAAAAAAAAATCAACCAGTAAAGAATGATTAGATGAGAAGTGAGATGACTATCATCCTCTGTTTACAAAACTCTGTGTAAGTTGACATTAATATTCGCCATCTAATCTGTTATAAATCAAGATTTATTGTAGAAATATACCAGTGATAGCACAATAACAAAGAAAACAGAATCATCTCAGGTTTTAAAATATACCTAACAAACTCGACCTCTTGCAAAATAACTTTCTTATTCAAAGTGGAACTGGGAATTGTTCAGCACACAATGAATCATCTTTTGGCAAGTACAATAGAATCTTTAGGGACATTTCACAGCCTCTTGTTCAATTGTTAGGATGTTTTTAGTTTTCACAGGTAGGGAAGCAGGTAGCTTGTATTGCTATCATCTTGTTGCTAAAATTGTATGGGTAAAGATTTTTCAGAGTTGCTGTTGCAATAGATCTGGGTTTTTTTTGTTTGTTTTTTTTTTTTTTTCCTTTCCTGTTTCTTTACTCAGAGCTGCTTTGTCTCTTAAAAACAATCTGGAATTTGTTACTGGAATTACTTAATGCTAATGTTTTCTGGTTTTACTATTTACCCAGGACTCAAATGTTAAACATTAATATGGGAAACTCCCTTTTCCTTACCAAATAGCCCAATGTTTATTTAACTGTTATTTTGCAAGAAGAAAATCTCATTTTTTTCTCTCCATGTTAATACTTTTCTTATTGACAAACACATTTTGCTTTTGTTTTTGCAGGAGGCTTCAGAGCTACCCTCGGATGATTTTGAAGTGACTGGGACTGCAGCAGCGGCATCTGAAGTGATTAAATATGAATACCATGTCTTATATTCCTGTAGCTACCAAGTGCCTGTACTTTACTTTAGGGCAAGCTTTTTAGGTAAGACTGGGTCTGAAGCTAAAAGTAAATTCATAACATTTACATATAAGGCAGAAAGCATATTTGGAAAATTATTCTCCAGAGGAAAAAAAATAGAGTTAAAAATAAGAAAACTGTGGGTGAGGTAAGGTTTTACCAGTAAATTTTCTCATGCTTCAGAAAGGGTATCAAGACTTCAGAGTGAATGATATCATCCCAGCCTCAAGTCTCATCTTCAGATTCTTGGCTTCCTGCCTGAAGTTGACTAAGCCCCCTGGCCCTTTTTTTTTCTTTACTTTAAACAAGTAGGAACAACTTAAAGCTACAATGTTTATTTACTTCTAACTATACAGTAAAAATTTCTTTGAATCTCAAATGATCCCATTAACTCAAAAGCCCCCCATGCCTCCTTCCCCAATAGCTGATAATTACTTTAAGAAATGTTTATCAATTAGCTTAAGCTGTATTTAAAAATAGCACTAACATTTCCTTCAGCCTCTATACATCTCCAGTGCTTTTGCTTCCTGCGATGCTGTTACTAAACTCATTCTCCTGCCAAGAAGGTGGAACACTCTGTCTCCTCGGAGGCCTTTGCTAATAAAGCTTATTTAATCAGCAGCCACATGGCATTCTCCCCTGCAGTGCAGCCACGACTCCCCACTAAAGTCCGCTGCCTAAGCCCAGTGAGTGCTAGGGTGCTCTGATACCCTGGCAGGGCCCCGAAATGAGCCCCCTGTCCAGCTCCCTCCCTGCCCTAGTTCTCCTTTTCTATCTGGCCTTATCAGTAGCATTTTGCATTTTGAACAACCTTCTAACTTTTTCTGGATAGCTAAGACATCTGAATTTAGCCAATGATATTTTATTTTTAATTAAAAAGTAGCTTAAGCTGCTTTGAATGTGTATTTGGTAGATTTAATCACTTGCTGCCTTATATTGTTTAATGGTCTCTAATTTTGCAGTGTTGGCGGTTTAACAAGCACTTAGGATTTAAAACACAAGAACAAATTCTCATAGACTCCCCGGTGAGAAGATTTTAATCTGAGGTGCAGTTCTTAAGAACTGACAATTTGGGGTAAATTTTCAACATGGGACATGGGGAATTGAGGACACTGATAGTTCACTAATGTACAAACTCTTGCTGCAAATTTATCCATATAATTATAACAAGCTTTTAAAACACTTATTGTGTTATAATTCTATTTGGTTTGGAGCCCAGAGGTTAAAGGAGGTTTCTTGTCAGTGAAATGTACTATGCGGGTGCAAAAAGTAGGAGCTATATTTATTATGCAGGGGGAGGAAAATGTCTTTCTTGGTTCTGGCTTGCGATAGCTCTACAAGCTAGGACCATCTAGATTCAAAAACAAGTCGTGTCTGCAGGTAGAGGAAATAGGACACTTCTTCAATACTGTACTTTCATATAATTAGTATTCACCATAAGCAGTTAATCACCAGAGAAGAGCTCCCAGAGACAAAACAAGTTGTTTAGCTTGTCAGCATTAGGGAATCAGAGGTGTTGAAACATGACTGCTTCTAGCTGGAAGTGGGTCTTGCCAAGGCCGGTGGATGAGCTCATACGTGTTCTTTGCTCTTATGTGCCAACAGCTCCCCTTACAGTACAGCACAGTAATTGTTCCTGCAAGGCCAATTATGTTTTAATGACATTAGTATACTTCCTATGATCCTTTCTTTATGATTTTCTATTCTTTAAAAAAAAAAAAAGCTAGCCTTCTTAGATTCTGTTTATATAATTTTAAGATGCTCTTCATTTAAAACCAAATTTATACGAGGCCTTCTTCATTCCCCCACTCCCATTCTGCGTTGTACAGAATGGGCATTAGGCATTTTAAAATTCATTTCGGTCCAGAATTCATTTAGTGCTTGTTCAGGTACATTAAAAAATCAAATTTAATTTTTGCAAAGAGTACTAACTGTTTTCTGGCAGAGAAACATGAAAAATGGTTCTTTTCTTTATCATATATTCTAATAATTTCCTTTTTCTTCTCCACCAAACTTAACCTCATGAATATTCTAAAAATGTATGTCCCTTTACTATGGAGTCGTAATTTTTCATTTATTCTCCTTAGTCCATTACCTTTTCTGGGATATCTGATTATTCTGGCCTATCATCTATTTGTTAAACAAATCTCTTGTCAGTGTGGTGAATGGATTCCTCACGTCTTCCTCTTATTCCAGGTCCAGATTTTTCTTTGTCTCATTTCTAAGAGAGTTCCGACCTAGAAAGAGGATGACTGTAAAATTTCTTGCCCAGGGGTCTTTTTTTTTGCTTCAAAAATAGTTCACTTAGCCTTGTTTTTGACAGATATTTAGAATTTCTTTTGCATTTGATTGTTAATAAAAATTAATTTCTGTGCTTTGTTCTGAATTTTCTTCCTGTACTCCCCCTCTTTTTTTTTTTTTATAGCAAAAGCAAAGCAAGTAGTAAATAGTTCCTATTTAAATAGACATTACTCTTTCTTATATCAGCTGGTTTAGATTTCAGGAGAAATCTTTATTTCATTTCTTGAAATGCGAATATGTTGGACTATGAATTCCTCCTATTCCTCTATATGGTCCAGTGTCCACCAGGTCAACTGCTGCCCCGAGATTTAGCTAACATGCCCTACTCTTGTCACTGCTACGTCATGTCATGTGACATCACACAGTCTGCAATTACCCAAGTTGCATTCTATCAGAATTCCTTGTTTTCTTGTCTTCTATAAGATGGTTAGCTAGAAGGTAGGGCCTCAGGGTAAAAGGAGGAGTAAAGGAAATTAATGTTGAGTGTCTACAAAGTGAGAAGCATGGTTTATGACCCTGTGTGTATGGGAGCTGTATATAGCTTATTCAACTGTATTAATGAGTGTTTATTAAGTGAGCCAATAATGAGGAATTTCTGACCATTTTGAAAACAGCCTAAAGACTGAGACTATGTGATGGTACCTGTTCCAATTGCTCTGATGGGTTCTAAGGAGGAAGTAATGCTGTTGTCAGGAGACCCAGCACCTAAACTATCTATATATCTTTACTCTTTAGTCTGAAACTTTTCAGAAACTGTAGGGTTAGTGGAGTATGAAAAATAGAATGTCCTGAGGACTCAGAAGTGGGCATCCAAACTAGCTCAGCAGCTGCTTCACTTCTATAAACACATATTTTTATGTGATCCTGAAAGGCAGACAGCTAGATTGAGGCATGATTCTGCTTCTGGTTGCCTCTCATTTCTATGCGCAGTTCCCAAGGGAGTAACATGAACTTAGGAGAAGAAGTAAGGCCAGTGCTGTGGCTGCCACCTGCCATTCTAGCACTCTGGGAGGCCAAGGGGGGAGGATTGCTTGGGCTTAGGAGTTTGAGACCAGTCTGAGCAAGAGCAAGACCCCATCTCTAGAGGGGATAAAAATAGAAAAACTAGCTAGGCATTGTGGTAGGTGTCTGTAGTCCCAGCTACTTGAGATGCTGAGGCAGAAGGATTGCTTAAGCCCAGAAGTATGAAGTTGCTCAGGCTATGATGATACTACCACATTATACTCTACCTGGAGCAACAGACTGAGACTCTATCTTAGAGAGGAGAGAGAGAGAAGAAAGAAGTCCTTCTTTCCCAATGTTCTGTTTTTCTCTGTCTCTCGTCACTGTAGTTTTGGGAGGGATAGTGGGACACAGTAATATTATTTGCCTCCCAGCAGTGGGTGAGAGGTGATCACACTTCCATTGGATAATAGTAAACAGCCTCTGAATTGTGCTTTGTAGTTTAGGAGCTCCATTTCCACACAGAGCATTGACATCTTCAAGGGCATGCTGCTTTTTTTCTCTCTAACTATTTTTAAAGCACACTGTATTAAAGAATTATTTATATCATACCAAAGCCTTCTATCTACTCTCCATCATTCTCATCATTCCACAACCCTTTTATGTCCCATTTTCCCTTTGGGGGCTTGGCTTTGATGAAAAACTGGTGGTGTTAGAAATATGGTAAAAACCTTAGGCATACAGGGGCTTTTGGCTTCACCAGAGTCCTAGGCTTAAAAATCTCCCCTTACATTGTAACTAGTGATTTCTATATTTATTTCTACTTGAATTCTGATTTATCTCTTCCCTATATCTTTTGTTTTCCTTTGTTCTCGACTGAAAAAATAGACCAGTGGTTCTTTTCATTTTCAAAATATTTAATTCTTTGGCTAACATATGGGTTCTTCTTGGGAACCGTTTTGATATATTTCTTTAATTGATCAGAAAGAGTGCTTTGGAATAGAGAAGGAAGCATTTCTTCCATTTAGCAACTGAATGTCCTTTCTGGAGATCCATTCTATTATTGACCCAGAAAGTCAGGGTATAGAATTAAAAATGTAGCCCACATTTTTCGTGTGAAAGATTTGTCCACTTTTAGAGGCCTGAAGGATGTTCATGGAGAAACAGAGTAAAAGAAATAATCAAAGAATAATTCCTTTTTAAAGGCAGCATGAACCAAACCAAGATAAAGGCCAGGAGAAAGACAGAATAATGGAAGTTTTGGAGTTAAAACAGTGTATAAAACATCCAAGAGGAAGAGGAAGAGGGTTGTCCAAGGTTTGGAACACAAAGCAGTCTTTGGAGTAACAGAGTGATAGGAAAACAGGAATAATGAGGATTGGAGGAAGCTGAAGATTGAAAGTGGAATATTCGTAGCTCTGCTGAACAACTTCCAAAGGCTATTCATGGGTTAGGTCCCATAAGAAAGGATAGAAAAGACTGTAAAAAGAGAGGAGAGTGGGTGCCAAGCTGTAGGAGCCAGGAAGAGCATGGCATATTCTGAGAAGTGAGAGGCCAGTTTGTATTAGGTGTTCCTTTAGGATGGGTTATAAAAGAAATGGTTGAAAAGATACATTGAGGTCAAATTATGGAAGAGATAATGGGTGGGAAGAGACTGGAGGATTTAAGGAAAAAGTGAAGGAGATTGAGCAGAAGTACATGAAACCAGTGGAGGGATTTCCTAGAAGTTATGACTGAGCAAGAAGAAAAGAGGAATAATTAAATGATGAGAATGAAATTTG